TTGGGGCTGTGTCGGAAGCTGCAGGCAATGCACGAGGAGGGAGATCACAGAGCCAGACTATTCTACATGACAGGTATGCCGGGTCCGGCGGCTCTCCTCCTCTCCTCAAACTATAGTCCGCCCCCCCAACATTCTGAGGGACTGTGAACTGCCCCCCTGTTTAAAAAGTTTGAGGACCCCTGCTTTAAAGCATTTGATTCCATATTCCAAGCTAAATTGTGGAAAAACTGGAGGCCTCCTCGATTGACTGACATCTGCTTCATGTAATATGTATGCTACATGAAGGGACCTCACTCAAAGTAAGATGTACCACCCCCCAAGGCCATTTCACCAGGGCCACTGAAACTGAGAAAGCTGTCAAGCAAGGCTGCATATTGGCCCCATTTTTATTCAATTTCTATATCAACTTCATGGTGGGCCTTGTCCACAACATGAACTTTCACTCTCCACAACTTGCTGGAAGACACATCTCTGTTCTACTCTATGCAGACGATGCAGAAATATTTTCAAGAACACCAATTGGCCTTAAAAGAGCACTGACAGTACTAACATAGTACTGCAAGGAAAATCAGCTAGAACTCAATTATTCGAAAACTAAAATCATGGCATTTGCCAAAAGGCCCAAGAGCCATTCCTGGAGCATAGATGACCACAAGATTAAGCAGGTCTCCTGTTTCAAATACCTGGGGTAGTCCGGGGACTAAGTTGCTGAAAATGCACAAAGGAGCTCATCTATCATCCTTAAATTCCTTAAAACAAGAGGTGGCCACTATATACGCCACCCAGAGTCACTTGTTTTGCGAGATGGGTGGCTATATAAATTGGATAAACAAACAAACAAACCTGCAGCACTCAAATTATTTGAAGCCAAGCCAATAGCACAACTTCTTTATGTTGCCCAGCTGGGCCCCTTCTTCAATTTTGCACCATTAGCACTTGTCCAATCCAAATTTCTAAGATCAGCTCTTCAAGTCCCAAAATGTGTCTCTAATGCCACCCTGTGACTAGGGATAGGCCTCATGAAAGTGGAGGGTAGAGTGTGGGTGACCATGCTCAACTATTGGCTCAGACTATCCTTTTTTCCCCTTGCCCTTGCCCATTAACTAAGATTGATGATTTTCAATCCACATGGAAATTTTCATCCTTGGGCTTCTCTCCAGGTCTTCTACTCAGCATGGGATATGAGAGGCAATGCCCTTGTGACTCTGGACACACAGAAATAACAGAGCATGTGCTTATCCAGTGTCTATATTACAGAAACATTCATGCTAGCCTCATCTCACCATTACTGCATAAATACCCAGGGTGCACAGGACAATTCTACACCTCCCTGCTGCTTTCTGATATCAACCCTGATACAACATACAGGGTTGCCAGGTTCTGAGCAGCAGTGCTTAAAATGCATTGGATGATGACCTGTGCCATACTATAAACTAGACTTAATGAGCATTTAGTTTGCCATACAAGAGTGCTCTGTAATTTTATAGATATAGTCTTCCACATACTAAGCTTTATGCTGTACTACAGCCACCTAACGTTCCTATCCCTATTTTAGATTTTTTTAGACTCATTTTTTAATATATACTTTCTGTTTTAATATAGATATTTTTTATCTTCTAGCTTTTCATTT